TTTGAATTTCAACTCGTACTACAAAAATTTAAGCACTGCTAACTGCAGGGGAAAAAATATTTTCAACCAAAAGCTCTATTCCTTTCTTTTGCTTTAAATATCCAAATATTACTAGTGAACATTGTTTCTGGATGGTAATTATCTTTTTGTATGTATTTTCTCTACCAACAATTTGTTTCAAAAGAATAATATAAATAATCCAATATTAAAATCAGTACATATCAACTGAGAGTAAATGCGCCTTAGGCTAGCCCTTTTGCATCAAAACAACATGCCAAATCCCAGTATGATATAATCTTAATACATGACAATTGCTATATATAGTATTCAGTGGCCACACTTGCATTTGTCATTGAGGGTTTGTTCTGTTTTTTCAAAACACATTATGCAATAATACCTCCTGGCAAAACAGAATTGATCCTCTTTTTTAATGAATTGTTTACTATTCATTGCCCTTCTTCCCATAAAAGAGCTGTCATGTAGAAATGCACAATACACACTCCATTATCCACAGATTTAATATCCACGGTTTCACTTATCTACTCTCCAAAAATGCCCATCCTCCAGGAAGTGTTTGTGGGTCATCCAGTGCTACTCTACTGTATGCTCTCAGTCCAGTCAAAATATAGGGTTTGCTATAATCTAAAGTTTCAAGTATCCATGAGAAGTCTTGGAACCTATGCACCATCGACACAAGGGTCATATGCAGAGTAAAGGTTTCCCTTCATATTAAGTCTAGTCATATCCGACTCTGGGTGGTGGTGCTCATCTCCATTTCTAAGCTGAAGAGCTGGCATTGTCCAGACACCTCTAAGGTTATGTGGCCAGCATGACTGCATGGAGAACCATTGCCTTCCTGCAGAAGTGGTACCTATTGATCTACTCACATTTACATGTTTTCGAATTATTAGGTTGGCAGAAGCAGGGGCTAACAGTGGGAGCTCACCCCTGTCCCCAGATTCGAATAGCCAACCTTTCAGTCAGCAAGTTCAGCAGCTCAATGGTTTAACCCACCACACCATCAGGGGTCCTATATCGCTAAGAAATGTTGGGCATTATTGTACAGTATGACCCTTGCACAGTATGACCCTATTGAATGTTGTATGCATCCCCACAAATGTATCTCAGAGATGGATAGCGCATTCAAACTCCCCTTTTGATTCCTGCTGCTCTTCTATCTTAGAGCAACAATACCCCTCTCCACTCCAACATAAAGGCTTTGGATTTATAAATCCATAAAGTATAGAGGCACACACATGATCCCATCAGTGCCACCTATATATGAAGCAGGTACTATTGTTGTTGTTGTTGTTTTTCTCTACACAAGACTCAAAGCATTACTGTAATGTACCAGATTAACTAATTTGGAAGTCCCTGAACAGACTCAGAAGTGGAGTGGGCAGATCAAAAGACAACCTGGCAAAAAGGAATTACCTAAAAGAATCCTCCACCTTGTGTGACTGGAGCAGAACAGAAAATTCTGCATTCTGTATGTTTGTCCGCAATGTCCTGCCTCATGTACAGAGGAAGAATTGATTGAAGCTAAAGACAATGCGGTGGCTTTAGCCCGATTTTGGACAAAAGATATATTGCTGCTTGTGCTCCTTCTATTTTTATCAGTTTTATACTAATTCATGCAATGCTTTTGATACAAAATAAATAAACCAGATTAACTCTTCTAAATAGTAGTATTGGTGAAGTATACTGATAAGGTGTGAAATGCCTGTCTCTGAGCAAGTTAATAATTTTACATTGACATATCTGCTTCACATATTCCTTTTAATGAAATTATGGGAAATTTTTATAATGAGCTGAGGTTGCACCCTTTCCCTTCCACACCATGAATCGTTGCTGGAACATGCTCTACAACAGTGATTCCCAAAGTGCAGCTTTTCAGGTTTTTGTAGACTTCAACTCCCAGAAGCCTCAGCTGCTTTGGCTAAAGATCAGAGATTCTGGGAGCTGAAGTCCACAAACCACATCTAGTAATGAACTTAAGTCGCATCTACACTGGAGAATTAAACCAGCTTTAAAATCACTAGAGTTGAAGTTTGGTGAGGCACCGGCACTCTTAGGCAGAGGAAACGATAACCTCCATGATTCTACAGCATGAGCCATGGCAGTTAAAGTGGTGTCAAACTGCATTAATTTCAGTGCTGATGTACCTGGGATTCTCTGAGAGAGCTCTAGTGCAGTTCCCTGAAATGCGACACAAGAGATCTATAGCAACGAAAAGTACGAAGTACTTCACTGAACTACTCTGCCCAGAATTCCACTGGATGCAATCGTGATGATAAACGCGCTATTGAATTATTTAAATCCTCTGAAGTGAGCCTCATTTTTTCAGCCTGTATGTCTGTCCCAGTTATCTACAGATGTATCTACACGGTAGAATGAACACAGTTTGACACCACTTTAATTGTTATGGCTCGATGCCGCATTATCACAGGATATCTACGCCCAACACTGTTGGAGAAATTTTACTGTTTAGCCCAGGCAAGGGCAAACTTCGGAACTCCAGGTGTTTTGGACTTCAACTCCCACAATTCCTAACAGCTTACCGGCTGAAATCCAAAACATCCGGAGGGAGGGCCCAAGTTTGCCCATGCCTGGTTTAATTGGTATTGCACGACCTGATAGCCGCCTGGAAGTAGCAGCCAGCAATGAAAAGACCAAGGTATCTTCTGTTCAGATATCATCCAATGACTTAAATCAAGAAACAGCTTCCTAAGATCTACGTTTATAGTCACAGGAACACCTCAGCAAGCGACAGTCCAAAAATGGCAGGCTTTTTTTAACGTATCAGAAGAGAACCGAGGATACAGCTGTAATGTATTTAAAAAGCACAAAGTTTTAAAAACTTGGCATTATACTAAATGTCCTATGACCAAAAGCTGGCCACTTGGAGTGCTTCTGTCTGGTGTTGCTATAAGAAGATCCTCCATTGTGCATGTGGCAGGGCTCAGACTGCATTGTAAGAGATGGTCAGTGGTTTGCTGTTCTCCACACTCGCATCTCGTGGACTCCACTTTGTGGTCCCATTTCTTAAGGTTGGCTTTGCATCTCGTGGTGCCAAAGTGCAGTCTGTTCAGCGTCTTCCAAGTTGTCCAGTCTTCTGTGTGCCCAGGAGGGAATCTCTCATTCACTATTAGCCATGGGTTGTTGATCCTGCCACTTTTGGACACTTTACCTGCCACTTTTGGACTCTTGCTTGATGAGGCTTTCCTGCGAGTATCTCCGTAGATCTTAGAAAACTGTTTATTGATTTAAGGCGTTGTCTGATATCTGAAGAGAGGATGGGCCGGAGATATCAATGCCTTGGTCCTTTCATTATTGGCTGCTACTTCCCAGCAGATGTCATGTAATGCAATACCAACTAAATAGTATAATTTCTCCAGGCTAAAACCCGGAACCTTGATCCGTGGCTGATACCAGATAAAGAAACTCCCTTCTGAGCACTCTTAGGTGGCTTGGAAGGCACTGAACAGACTGCGCTCTGTTACCACGAGATGTGGCGCCAATCTCAAGAAACAGGGCTTCAAAGTGGAGTCCATGACATGCAAGTGCAGAGAAGAGCAAACCGCCGACCACTTACTACCATGTGGTCTGAGCCCTTACAGCAACACCAGCAGCGCTTTGTCAAAGGAAATATAGCATCATGCCAAATTTTTAACTTTGTGGTTTTTTATACATTACTAACCGTCCCCTGCCACATGTTGCTGTGGCCCAGTCTGTGTATGTGTATATGTCTGTGTGCATATTTGTGTATATATGTGTGGGTATATATGTGGTTTTGTGCATGTGTTGTTATGGTTTTTTTTGTTTTTTGGCTTTTTAAGTCTTTTCTGCTGTGTTTTTCAGTGTTTTTATGAGTGATGGCTACTTGTTGGCCTGATAAGGTGTATTGTGTCCAAATTTGGTGTCCGTTCATCTAGTGGTTTTTGAGTTATGTTTATCCCACAAACAAACATTACATTTTTATTTATATAGACTAGCCGTCCCCTGCCACGTGTTGCTGTGGCCCAGTCTGTGTATATGTTTTGAGTGTGTATATATATGTGTGTGTATATATTTGTGTATATATGTGGTTTTGTGCATGCGTTGTAATTTTTTTTTTTTGCTTTTTAAGTCTCTTCTGCTGTGTTTTTCAGTGTTTTTATGAGTGATGGTCATTCCTTGGCCTGATAGGTGTATTATGTCCAAATTTGGTGTCAATTCCTCAAGTGGTTTTTAAGTTATGTCAATCAGTGATAGTATGATAGCTGGGTCCAGAAGTGTTACGAGTGTTACGTACATTTCGCAACGGTGGTTGTGAATAAGGGAAAGGGAGAGTGGCACACTGAGGGTGAGAATATATTCTGTAGTTGCATTTGGCGGAAGGATAGAAAAGAGGGGAAGGTTAGGATAAAGTTTAGGGTTAGGGTAAGGGATAGGATTAGGTTTAGGGGTCAGGCTTAGAGTAAGGTTTAGGGTTTGGGTCAGGGTTAGGGTTAAGGGTTCAGGTAAGGGTTTTACCATTAAAGAACTCTAACATTCCTTCTATAATATCTGTGTTCTGGTCTGTGTTTGCAAAGGAGCAAAGCGGAAACAGCGTTATGTTCAGCGCTTCTGGACCCAGCTATCATACTATTACATGTTAATCCCATAACGAACATTACATTTTTATGTATACAGAAGATTACTGTCTTCTCAGTTTGCTTCTGACCTGGAAGACTATAGAGCAGGCATGGGCAAACTTGGGCCCTCCAGGTGTTTTGGACTACAACTCCCACAACTATATTATTATTACTATTATTATTATTATTACATACATTTCTATCCCACAAGGGGACTCAGGGCGGCCAATTCCTAACAGCCTGCTCTACAGTTTGGGAAACACCTCTAGTTGAGAAAACACTCGCTCTAGGCATGCCAAATGCTTTGCTGATTGCTAACAGAGGGAGGAGGGTCCAGGGAAGGGTCCAGGGAAGAAGCTCGGGAGGGAAGGGGGGCGGATTCACCTTCCTGCAGGACGTGGGTGGGCTGGACGGGGCGAACCCGGAAGTGCCTGGCGCTCCACCCGGGGCTGGGCTGCCGCACCACCTCGCCCTCGGAGAGCCAGGTCACGGCCTCGTAGTTGTCCCCGCGGCGGAGGGCCGGGGCCTCGGCGCTGTGCACGGCCACCTCCGGGAACTGGTGGAGCCCGCCCGCGTGGTCGAAGTGCACGTGCGTGGCCACGGCCAGCAGGGGGCGCTGTCCCGCAAGGGGTTCTCCCGCCGGCGGCGCGGATTCCGCCCCCTTCTCCTCGGGGGCTCCGGGCCCCAAGAGCCCCGCCAAGCGGAGGTAATCCGGCAGGCTCCGCAGCCCCAGCCCGGTGTCGATGACCACGTCCCGCTGCGAGCCTCGCACCAGCCAGATGTTAGCCCGGTTCCCGGACTCGTAGAAGCGCTCCTGGATCCAGAAGATGCCGCCGCCCAGGGATTTGTGCGCAAACCACTCCAGCGCCGACATCGCCGCCGCCGCCCAGAAAAGCTCCCAAAGCCCGGCTCCGGGGAGCGAGGGAAGGAGGAGGAGGAGGAGCCGAGAAGGGGGCGGGGATGCTGCCAGGCGCGCTCCCGAGACACCCGTCTCCGCCCCCGGCCCTGCCCACTGCGGTAGCCCGGCTGCGAAAGAGGGGAGGGCGCTACACTGGAGCATCAATGCACGTTCATACCGCTTTAACTTCCCCTGGCTGTATGCTCTGGAATCTTGGAAACAGTGTATCCTGGAAACAGCACTCTTTGGCAGGGAAGGCTCCAGACTGTGTAAATTACTGCTGCAGTTGCAGGCATGGGCAAACGTCGGCCCTCCGGGTGTTTTGGACTTCAACTCCCACAATTCCTAACAGCCGGTAATTTAACTGCTTTGGCTCAATGCTGTGCAACCCTGGGAGGTACCAGCAGTCTTTGGCAGGGAAGCCTCCAGACCTTCAGGCCTCACCAAACTAAGGCTCTCAGTATTCCATAGCACTGAGCGATGGCAGTTAAAGTGGTATTAACCTGTTTCTAATTGGACAGTGTAGCTCAGGCATGGGCAAACTTCGGCCCTCCGGGTGTTTTGGACTTCCATCTTCCACAATTCCTAACAGGCTATTAGGCTGCATGTAAATATGCAAGCTGAGGAGCCTTCTAATCAAGGTGAAAGAAGAAAGCGCAAAAGCTGGGTTGCAGCTAAACATAAAAAAACCAAGATTGTGGCAACCAAACCGACTAACTGGCTAATAGAGGGAGAAAATGTGGAAGCTATGACAGACTTTGTATTTCTAGGTGCAAAGATTACTGCAGATGCAGACTGTGGCCAGGAAATCAGAAGACGCTTACTTCTTGGGAGGAGAGCAATGTCCAGTCTCGATAAAATAGTAGAGTAGAGACATCACACTGGCAACAAAGATCCGCCTAGTCAAAGCCATGGTATTCCCTGTAGTAACCTACGGATGTGAGAGCTGGACCTTAGGGAAGGCTGAGCGAAGGAAGATCGATGCTTTTGAGCTGTGGTGTTGGAGGAAAGTTCTGAGAGTGCCTTGGACTGCGAGAAGATCCAACCAGTCCATCCTCCAGGAAATGAAGCCCGACTGCTCACTGGAGGGAAGGATACTAGAGACAAAGTTGAAGTACTTTGGCCACATCATGAGGAGACAGGAAAGCCTAGAGAAGACAATTATGCTGGGGAAAGGAAGGCAAAAGGAAGAGGGGCCGACCAAGGGCAAGATGGATGGATGGCATCCTTGAAGTGACTGGACTGACCTTGAAGGAGCTGGGGGTGGTGACGGCCGACAGGGAGCTCTGGCGTGGGCTGGTCCATGAGGTCACGAAGTCGGAGACGACTGAACGAATGAACAACAAAAACAATGTGTTTAATAATAATAATAAAACTTTATTTGTACCCCGCTACCATTTCCCCAAGGGACTCGGTGCAGCTTACATGAGGCCGAACCCACAATACAACAATAAACAATAGCAACAGTAATACAAAAATAAACTCATAAGCAGAAAATATGCAATAAAGATTAACAATAACATTTTAAAACCTATGGCTGGGCCAAATGTAATAATTAAATTTTTTAAATAATGCTGGGCATGACAAGGTGACATATAACTAGGGTAAACGTTTTGGAGAGAGATGAGATGTGCAGACAAACCTAGATCACTAATAAAGTGCGTTTGGGGACATATTGCTGGTTTAACTGCTAAGCTGATGAACTTGCTGACCGAAAGATAGGCAATTCAAATCTGGGAAGCAGGGTGAGCTCCCGCTATTAACCCCAGCTTCTGCCAATCTAGCAATTCAAAAACATGCAAGTGTGAATAGATAAATAGATACCGCTTCTGTGGGAAGGTAACAGTGCTCCATGCAGTCATGCCAGCCACATGACCTTAGAGGTGTCTACGGACAACACGGGCTCTTTGGCTTAGAAATGAAGATGAGTACCACCCTCCAGAGTCAGACACGACTACACTTAATCTCAAGGGGAAACTTGAGCAGCTGTAGATTTGGTATCCATGGTCCTGAAAGCAAACCTCCTTATATTTACAGTATATTCTGGCGTATAAGACTACTTTTTAACCCAAGAAAATCTTCTCAAAAGTCAGGGGTCGTCTTATACGCGGGTGTAGTCTTATGCATGGGAGTTGTCTTAACTCTATATTTTATCTGGAAAAGTTGGGGGTCGTCTTATACGCCCAGTCGTCTTATATGCCGGAATATACGGTATATATATCATTGAAAATAAGTGTTTCATAGAGAGAGAGAGAGTATTCTACCCTTCATGTGAAGTATTAGGATGGTGTACTGGATAAATAATTCATTACTTAAAACCTAATGCTATACAATAAGTAAGGCTAACACCCCGCAGCCAGAACAACAGGGAGCCAATAAAAAATTTATTTTGCAAATGCTGACTGAAAGAGCCATTTTACTCTGCCACTGAAAAATCGTACATTGGACATCAATAATGCTGCCTCCATAATTATATAACACAGTTGTTACATAATTTTGGTAAGGAAGGCAAAGAGAATGGGACTTTGGGGAAGATCCGAAGACACATGTTAGGTGCAGAGACACATGTTAGCTGGTGCAGAGATGCTCTTCTATACTTTTCTATTATTTCCTCTATTTATGCCCCACCTTCCCGTTAGGAAAAAAGTCACAAAGAGGGCCAATATCCCAGGATCTGATCCCAAGTTTTCTGTTGATTCCAAATTATCTGGCAGTGCGGACTCATATAATCCAGTTTAAAGCAGAAAATCTGGAATTAGATCCTGGGATATAGGTACTGTCTGGAAGGGCCCTTAAGACTGTGTATGATCCTATGGTATGAGAGACTATTTACGAAATTTGTTTTTCGCGCATAATGTACATTTATTTCTTATATATACTTTGTATGATGCTATATTGTATTGTTAGTTAAAAACATGTTTTCTTAAATATTGAAACAACTTTGTGACTTTTGGGCAACCCTGTATATTCTTGGAATATGTATATGCATGTGGGAGCTTCAACTCTGGGAATGTTATGCCTTGATAGAACAGTCTAAAGATTTATTTTTTTATTTTACTACATTTATATACCACCCTTTTCAGCCCGCAGGCGACTCAGGGTGGTTTAGAGTCAACATCAAAGCATAAGAATACAATAAAAAAACAATTAAAATATTATAAACCCATGATAAAATCAATAAAAACATATTCACATAGATGTATGTCAGTTGCGTCCCACCACCTGCCAGACTTGATGCACAGGAATAAAAATATACACAATTCCTCTGGGGTATACTAAGTTTTACTGCACAGCTTCAAATAGTAAAACAGCTTGCTTGTAATTGACTACTTGTTGTTTGCCTCCAAGTTTTTTCCCCTGATTTTTAGCAACAAATGCTTCCATAGAGTTGTGTTGGAAGACCTAGCAAATTCCTAGAGGAGATAGGTCCTCCAGCACAACTCCACAGTAATGTAATAGTGTTCAGTCATCTCTGTAGTTTCACGTAGCTGCAATCTGGTCATAAATGTATCCCCAGTAGTTATTTACCATGAAGGTCTTCCTAATGCTTAGGTGGAATCAGTTTTCCAGTTCCTCAGATTATTTTGCTTCATACAGGCATGTAGCCGGGGGGGGGGGGGGCTTGAGGGGCTTCAGCCTCCCCCCCCCCCGAAATTCTCATGGTGGTCCGTGAGAAGGCCTTACTGGTACATTATTTAAACTGTTATGTTTGTTCATATCATGATCTGATCACCATGCTCAATATTTCCCATATGCATGGGGGTATTGGGGTAATGATACAAAAGGTTTGCTAGGTAGACCCTCTTTCACTCAGACTCAGCCCCCCCCCCCCCCAAATCAAACTCAGCTTCCCCCGAATCAAAATCCTGGCTACGGGCCTGGCTTCATATAACTTTATATGGCTTCACATAGCTGTTCAAGGGAATGCATGGATGCCATCATCCAAATGTTATAAAGCTCAGTAACAATCCCTTAATGCCATTTTCTGCAAATGCTCCCAGTGTTTCCTAGAGAGCATGCCTTTATAGAGTGCAGTGGGGCTTCTGAATGCAAATCCATAGGTCTGTGTGTCAATCCTCCAAATATTTTATGTCAGGAACTTGTCAGTTCCAAATAAGTTCAAGCAGGATTTAAAATAACTCAAAGAATGTCAATCAGGATCAGGGTTTGAGCCTTTTGGAATTACTTTGTTGAGCATTGTGAATGTCAAGGCATAATATAAATACTGAACAAAATGTAATAATGTAATTGTTTCTTTGATCCTTTTAATCCTTTGCTAATAAATCATACAGTAGTGTGCTAAATAGTATATCCCCATCCTCAATGTTGCAACAGAAACTACTGAAAACTCCAATTCTAAAAATTGCTAAACAAAGAGAGCAGCCTAGACCTGGATTGAGCCACTTAAGATGTGGTGTGAATGCAGTGATTGAGTGGCCCACTTATCCTAACTAGTATCGTTCAGAATTTACAACCAGGGGTATGTTTTGTAGGATCTGAAATACTGCAAAAATTGAATATGTCATTTAGTGTCAAAGGTTTTAATGGCCAGAATTGCTGGGGTGCTGTATTGTTTCTGGGCTGTATGGCTGTGTTCTAACAGCATTTCTTCATGACATTTCACCTGCATCTGTGGCTGGCATCTTCAGAGGATCTGATGGTGGTGAAGCAAGTGTATATATACCCGTGGAATGTCCAGGGTGAGAAAAAGAACCAATGCCTATTGTGGGAAGGGTGCAATTAGCAAGCTTGATTTGGAAGTGCTTTGAGTGGGATCCATCCATTAGCATGTGAGTAACTGAGGAGATCTGCCTAGAAATAATCAGGACTTTGTTCCCTTGAAGTGTTTATTGCCTAGAGGCATCCTTTGTCTGGATGGTAGCTCACTAGCCCTTGATTGCTTGCTGCCTGTGTCTGGGTGGTGTTCATTAGTTGCTCTCTTGATTCTGGTGTTTCTCAATACTGGTAGCCAAGTGTTCATTTTCATGTTTTCTTCCTATCAGTTGAAATTGTCCATGTGATTGTGGATTTC